GGGGGGGGGCTGAGCTGCTTCCCCCCAGGTCAGCTCCTCACACTCAATGCTTGCTCCTTTCTCTCTGTGTTGAGGGGCAGAAATCCCTCCCACAGTTGTGCCCCAGCCACACCAGAGGAGGGAGAAGACCTGCAGAACAGCAGCAAAAATAACATTGGCTTTTTTTCACCCCCAAGAAAGAGTTCTTATGCAGTGCCCAAAGTCAGCTCCCGGACACCCCTTTCCAACACACCAGGAGGGATCTCACTGAGATTTGGTCTTCCAATGAAATGTAACAGAAAACAATCCACCTCTGCCCAAGGAGACTCTGTAAAGTTGGGGAGAAGGTGCAGAACCACAGTGCAAAATGAGCAGTTCTGGAGGAGCTGGGGAATAAGATGGGAATGCTGCCGGCCTTCTCCTACCACAGTTCTTGTTCTGCAGGGAAAAGCACCCCCGGAGGAGTTGATGGGGATTTGCCTGAGCTGAGCTTTCCCAGCTCCATCAGAGTCCATGGAATCATTAAAGCTGGGGAAGACCTCTAAGACCATCAGGTCCCCACAGGAGCACAGAGAGCTGCAAGCAGGGACAGCAGGACGGGACAGGGAGCAGCAGGGAGAAGGTGAATGGGGAGAGAGGACGGCCGTGAGGCGCGAGGTGAGGCGGCCTTCAGCACACTGAGCTGCACGTGGGAAGCATCGCAGCCACGCGAGCCCTTCGGTCAGGCACGAGGGAGCTCGTGCGGGCACCGAGCCCGACGGACGGCAGGAAAAGAGCGGTGCCGGCAGCGGCTGCGCTTTGAGCGGATTTCTGCACACGATGGGATCCGCACGGGAGGTGGGAGCCCGAACTCAGCGCCGCTGCAGCGGCAGCTCTGGACCCTGCAAACCGCGAGCTGCACGAAGCCACGCGCCCGCCCGCTCCGTCGAACCCCGCCGCGCTCTCCGATCCCCTCCCCGACGCGGGGCGGTGCAGCGCGGCTCGGCCCCTCCCGCTGCCCGCCCCGGAAGGCGGCGGAGCTCCGTTCGGCGCAGCCCGGCCCTTCTCGGCGCGATGCTGCAGCTCCGCGATCCGGAGGAGGGCGGCCCGGAGGACGAGGAGGCGGCGGGGGCGGGGGGGGCGGCGGCGCTGCTGGTGCCGGGGGGTCCCGAGCCGCCTTTCTCCGCCGCCCCCCCGCGGCAGAAGCTGCGCCCGCTGAACGTGCGCACCGCGAGCCGCGCGGGCCGCCTGAAGGAATACTTCGTGTTCCGGGTACGGCCCGGCCCGGCCCGCCTCGCCTCCGGCCCGTTCGCCCCGCTCTCCTCTCACCTCTCGCTTTCTCGCCCCCCCGCAGCCCGGCACCATCGAGCAGGCGGTCAGCGAGATCCGCGCCGTCGTGATGCCCACGGAGGACGGCGACGTGGAGAGCGTGTGGCTGCTGACCGAGTGAGTAGCGCGGGGCAACCGCGGCTGTAGCGCTGGAGGAAGGCGCTGCTCTCTTCTGCGTGCTCAGATGCAGTTAATAATTTACTGGCAATTATGTTTTCTATGTTGTGCCATTTCTGAGCCGGGATGTTCAACCTCTTCTCAGGCCTGGTGGTGGGAAGCGAAGGCTATGATGGAAAACACAGCAGTGCCGACACTTGGCTCTGCTCTCCATCGCAGCCCTTGTATCAGACAAGCTGTTACATGTTTCCAGCCAGCTAAAGCTCCACGTTCCATTTCTTACCAGAATCGACCACTGGAACAACGAGAAGGAGCGCCTCGTGCTCATCACCGACCGGTCCCTTCTGATCTGCAAATACGACTTTGTGGGCCTGCAGTGCCAGCACGTCACCAGGATTGCGCTCAACGCCATCGACACCATCTCTGTAGGAGAGTTTGAGTTCCCACCCAAATCTCTGAACAAGTAAGTTGATGCAGTCCCAGTTCAGTCCCGTGGCTGTCAGTGCACACAGCTTGAGCTGGCAGCCTTTGCCCTGGGACAAACCATGAGTTCTTCCTATTGCTGCTGGTCGCCAACTTTGTTTATTCAAATTCCATCAGTGATAAAGGAGCTTGCTGTCTTGAACAGCTACAAACCAGCACCACAGTTCCTGGCTTTAAGGAGGCCTTTTCCAGATCTCTAATGGAGGCCATCCCATATTAACCCCGCTGTCTTCAACACCAGGAGAGAAGGAGTTGGTATCCGCATCCAGTGGGACAAGAGGAGCCGTGCATCCTTCATCAACAGATGGAACCCGTGGTCCACCAACGTCCCCTACGCCACCTTCACTGAGCACCCGATGGCAGATGCTGACGAGAAGGTTGCATCTCTCTGCCTGGTAAGGGAATCACCTCTGCTGGTCTAGAATTCTAGATGGCCTTTGCTATTGCAGGCTGGGTACTGCTTAGAGTGGGTAAATCAAACAGGAGCAGTTAAATCCAACACACAGCTGCATCTTCCTGTTCTCTGCATCTCAGCTCTGAAGGACAGCTGAAGCAGTTTGTGCCAGCTGGTTAACTCAGAGAGGAAGCTAAACCTTCTGGAAGTGCAGAGTCCTGTAAAACCCAAAAGAAAATGGATCTTGATGTTATTCCTGCTTTCATTTACCTGGCAGGCAAAGGGCTGACTTTTGTCTGGCACTTCCACCAGTTAATTAAACACATAACATCGTTGCTAATGCAAACCTTCACTTGGTAGCTCTCTTTTTTCTTTCAGTGGTTGCTCTCCTCAGATTTACACTTTGCAATAGAACATTACAGCAGTTTAACTCCAGCACTAGTGTTAATGCAGGAGAACAGCAGAAAAATAAGATGGCTACTGATAGCTTATTTACATATCTAGCCAACGTTTGCTTGTAAACAGTGCTATATGACATTAGTCATAATTATCAGAATGTAAAGTTTATTGTGGAATGTGAGATTCACAGCAACGAGAGCTTTAGTGTTGACCCTTTACACTTTTAGCAGCCTTCCCTATGAAAGCAGAGGGATTTGTAAAACAATGGGGAAAACATCACAGTGATTTATGATTATTATTTTTAATCTTTCAGTTGGAAAACTTCAAAACTCAGCTCATCCAGGCCGTGAAGAAAGCTCACAAGGAATGGCCACTGCCAGGAAGGGCCAACGGGGTCCTGGTGCTGGAGCGGCCTCTTCTGATTGAGACTTATGTGGGATTGATGTCTTTCATCAACAACGAGGCCAAGCTTGGCTACTCCATGACAAGAGGCAAAATTGGGTTTTAAAATGCACAGCATTTGGTCTTTTTAAAGGGAAAGTGATTTTATGTTAGGCTCCTGGGGAGAACCCTGCCTGGCAGAATATTTGGTAAGCAAAGCAAAGACATTACAGGAAGGAAGGGGGGTGGGTGCAGAACCAGCAGTTCACAGGAGGCCCTGGTTGTTACGGAGAGGAGAATGCACGGTGCAGAGTGAGCTGAAGCAGACACACAGCGGTGTCATGCCTGTATTGTGTAGCTAACTAACAGCCCTTACACAGGACAGCAAGCAGTGCTGTTTTCTCTTCCATTTCTAACTGCACATTCTTCCCTGTTAATCTGTGCAATCAGAACCTGCTGCAAACAGTGCCCAAGGTCCTGTGCCACAGGACAGTTGTACCCCAAATCATGTGCTGCGCTGGGGACTGACCTGTATTGCTTAAAGAGGTTCCAGTGTCTCCCAGTTACAGAGATCTTAGCTTACTGATGACTGACACACAGCTTTCAGGACTCATAACAGGCATCCTTTAGCAAG